GCATAATGCCGCCCAAATGTTCACGCAAAGAAAGAAGGCGTGGTTTCAGTAACCGCAGTTAGTGTTGAAGCAGCCATGTCAGGGAGACGCTGTGTGATTCTAGGTGAAAGCAATTATAATATTCATGGCCTTCCGGAAGTAGATGCAATTAGGAATCATTGGTTAAGATTTATTTATAACAGAACGGCACAACCCAGATGTTCGAATTTGTGCAACGCATTTTATGAACGACAATTTTTTGAACCTAGAAGAGTACAAGGCTGGCTGTGCACAAAGGCTATTTCTAAAGTGTAAGGGGAACAGGGTCACATCACAGGAGAGTGAACTGCCTGTCAGAAATCATAGCACGTCAGCTGTCTTAACCGCGGCTTGTGTACTGCATCATCACTGTGTCTGTCACGCGACTCTGTTGCGCTTTCGGGCTTGAACTGATGGTAAAACTAACGACATTATTAACTGTCTTGATATTTACTTAGAGAAAGCTGACGCTCGTGATTATGGTAAGGAGCGTTAAATTTCCGACGCGTGCTTGTGGTGTTCGGCCAATCACAATGCACTGGGTCAGCTGGCCAATCAGAGCAGACTGCGCTTGTCAAAGGAGGGGGCTTTGTTGAAAACGACATGTTTGAGAGAGGCGGGGCATAGAGGACCTACAATAATGTACAGTATTTGAAAAATAATGTGTTTTTTGAACATTAAAGCATGTCAACATATTCTGCTACACCAAATACACAAAATAATGATCTTTAAAATAGCATCATATGACCCCTTTAAAGGCGATTTTCTCAATATTTAGATTTTTTTTGCACCCTCAGAGCCCAGATTTTCAAATAGTTGTATCTCGGCCAAATATTGTCAGATCCTAACAAACCATACATCAATGGAAAGCTTATGTATTCATTGTTCAGATGATGTATAAATCTCAATTTGGAAAAAAATTGACCCTTATGACTGGTTTTGTGGTCCAGGGTCACAAATGTGCTATAAAATCCAACTAAAAACAACGGTGTGGATTATTATTAAGCAGCAAAAACCTAAAATTGCCTCTCTGTCTCTGAGACACTAAGCTCATGTAAGCAAAATGCCACTTCTGGTAAATGACAATTGGAAGACGCTAATTTACAGGGCAAAGGTGTTATAAATCATAAAATTTTAATGCTTAGAAAATTGGTTGGCTATTATTAAAAAAATAATAATAATAATAACATATATATATATTTTATTTATATACATTTAAGTTTAATAGTTAAAGTTGCAAAAAATACTGGAAAGTGGACAAATATTTTATCTTGTTGTGAAAACTAGTGTACATTTTTTCAGGATACTTTGTTACAAAAAATTTTATTTCAAAGACTTATCAATGTAAAAGTCTTTACTGTCACTTCTGATCAACTTAATGCGTCCTTGCTTAATTAAAAAATAAAATAATAATAATACAATTATTATTATTTATTTTTTTTAAGAAAAATAGGCTGAAAAAATAAGTTGGTGTGTGTGTATGCATGTACCTCAGAGGTAGAAAACGTGTGCGGTACAAAATGGCTCCTAGTGTCCACTGCACTTCTTTGTCATACACCAGCAGGGCCGTCCTGAGATTCTCATACGCCGCTGGAAACACAAAACCTGAGTGGAGCACCTCATGCATCCACGCAGACTTGAAGCACTGATACCTGCAGGAAGAGAGGAGCAGCCTGTTTATACCTTTCTCCAAAATCATCATAGACACTGTGGTCTGTACAAACTCTTGATGTATTATTTTCTACCATACACCTTTGCACTGAAGAGAAAATGAGTCAATACTGCCTTAATGGAGGTTTTTAAACTTACTTCAATCTATGTTGATCAGCATGCGAGGCGTAAAGTCCTCGATCAAACCGCTCTTTCAAAGTCTTCCACTGGGTGGCACAGTAACTCTGAAATGAAACGGATAAGGTTAGCAAAAACAAACATGATCATGAGAAATGTTTGAGCAATTTTTGTAGGCTGGTGATTTTTGACTGGGACAAAAATCCCCCCAAAAGTACTAAAATTAAAAAAAAAAATTGGGGGGGAGGGGGGAGTTTTACTCAATTACTGGAACAAAAATTAAGGGTTGGAAAAAAAAAATCCATTGGGATGCATTTGGATCATTGAAACAAATGCTGTAATACAAATCTTGTTTCTTTCTTCTAATTTTCGTTTATGCATCACAAAAAGAGAATTTTTCAAGCTGCACTTTTCCATACAACAGAACCTTTCTTTTTGGAGCTTGACAGCCACAGTGTGCTTTGATTCTATAGAAAAAGAGCAGCATGAACATTGTAAAATGTCAGTGTACCTTAGCAGCGTTGGAATATTTGGTGGAGTTGTAGTCTCCTCCCATGCGCAGCACATCTTCAGTACAGTAGTAGAACTCAGAGAAGCCGTAGAACTGGCTGTTGGTGAAGTCGATGGGTGGCTGATAGACTCCGTTCAGAGATGTGCTGGTGTCGTTGGTGCGGTTGAGGAACGGCTGGAGCAGCAGACGACAGCGGTCGAAGTCTCCAGTGCCACGCAGGTGCACCCTCTGCTCCTGAGGACCAACCTCATCCTGGAGGTCAGCTGGCAAGCAGGGGTCGAGGATGGGCGAGTCTGCAATCTCTCCTTGATGCTGACCCAGCAGCCTAGAGACAAGAGCATGAGACAGTAGTGATCGTAGTGAAAAACATCAAATATTCACAATATATTTCAAATATACTTTGATGATCTTACTGCGCTTTTAATTTGGTCATCAAGATTTCTACGACTAATTAGACTTGTTTTGTAAAGGAAAGTGTTAAAACAAGGATATTTTAATAATGGTTCGTCAATAGCAAATACTTAAACTGATAACAAAACATACTTACAGTCACTGATTCAGAAGCGCCAGATTGCCATAGCAAAGAAGGAATTTACCCTTTTTGTTTTTTTTTTAGAAATAGCCTTTGTGCACAGTCAGCTTTGTACTCTTCTAGGTTCAAAAAACTGTCGTCCATAAAATGCGTTGCACAAATTCGAACATCTGGGTTGTGCTGTTCTGTTGTAAATAAATCTTAACTAATGATTCCTAATTGCATCTACTTCCGGAAGGCCAAATAAAGTGCTTTTGCTTTCGCACTGAAATACACAGCTTCTTTCTTTGCGTGCACATTTTGGCGGCATTATGCTAATATTTTTCTACATAGTGATGTAGGTATGTGGGGGCGTGTTAGAACGAGCCATTTTAGGTAGGTGTGGCTGACTCTTAACTTTTATAAAGATTATCTCTTTGGATTTGAGACTTTAGTCTTTGCAACTTTACAGATCTTCTTTATGCACCAAGAGCTTGTAACACTCCATTTAAATTTAAATCGCATCATATGACCCCTTTAAACTTCAAGATCATAAAAAGTAGCCAAGTTGGATTTATTATTGTGAATCAGTTCAAACAGTCTGAATGAACGGACTCCAATCTGATGTTTGTGTTACCACTTAATGTTCATGGAAGCAGGCACATGTGATTGTTAATACATTTTATATTTTTATTCGGTAAGTACGGTAGTGTACATTATCTAGCTCACGTTCAACAAAAATTTAATCTTACTTGTTCTGGATTTGTGTGGTGCTGATGAGGTTTGCCTCATATCTCTGGCGAGCCGCATTTCCACCGAAACCCAAAAATGTTGAGACGTAAACGCGGTACACGTGTTCTGTTCTGTGAGCGTCACAGCCCAGGTTAAACTCCGCCAGCAAATTCTTGGCTATCTCCTCCTGGTAGCACACAGCGAAACACAGACAGAAATATAAGACAGCTGTGGGAAACAGATGTTAACAGAGGTTCCTTCTGGGCAACCACTGAAGCATCTTCTAAAAATACAGATCTACTCTGAAGAGCGCTCGAAATGCATGTTTCTTTAAACACAGAGGCAGAAAAGCAAGTGTAGTGAGAAGCAGCATCATCTTTGTACAATGAGATTTAAAGGAATGTAGGGGGTTCAGAACAAGTTGAGCTCTATCAAAAGCATCTGTGGCATGTTGTTGATTACCATAGAAAATTAGTGACTCGTGCACTTACAATGGAAGTCTATGGGGCAAGACAATCTGGAGGGTTAAAAAAAATTGCAGCTCGTTTTTTTTCCCGTAAGCATTTATATTAATTCTTAAAAAAATTAAAAAATCAAATTTTTTTTTTTTAAGTAGTAAACGGTCATTTAACAGGCAGTGAAACTTCTGGTTATTAATGGTTATTTTGTTTTTACAAAATGAGAGATGAGAATTCTGTTCAGTGGTAATCGACAGCACAGGTGCGGCTCATTGAGCTCAGCATGTGTAGATTGAGAACATCCCTTTAAACAGCTCTCCAGCTCTAATACAGATGTAGAAAAATACTACATCTGTACATGAAACATGAAAACACTGAACACTTCATTCTGATTGTGTTTGATTCCAGCAGCATCCTGTTATGTCAGATTAGAGGGCATCAGGATTTGTGCAGAGGAGTTTTCCTCTAAAACAATTAAACATACAGAATTAAGTCAAATATTATATTCAGAAAAATACAAACAATCCGTGCTTGCACACACAACAAATTCATGGACTGCTAATATTATATTATGAAACTCTCCCCAAATTAAAGGGATTCAATTAAATGATCAAAATATTGTTTAAAGGGGCCATATCAGTAATAGTAGATAAAAGTAAAAGTAGATAAACAGGATTATCTGATTTACATATAGAAGCCTTAAAGGTACAGCAGGAAAAACAGCCTATATGATTAAGTGTCAGAGAGGGAAGAAATGGTCATATGAAGAAAAAATAAAAACCCTATCTCATAAGAAAACATAACTATCTTAAGTTTTAGTGAATTGGGGGAGAATTCATATGAAGCAGTATGATTTTTTTTCCCACACAAAAAGATGAGATTTTTAGGAAAAAAAAAAAAAAACCTAAGCATGATGGTCCACCACTACACCTAACCCTCAGTGGCACACAAACAGACTGTACGGATTAGTCCAAATGAGACTGTACGAATTAGTCTGAATCTATATGAATTAGTCCAAATGAGACTGTACGAATTAGTCTGAATCTATATGAATTAGTCAAAATGAGACTGTACGAATTAGTCCAAAATTGACTGTACGAATTAGTCCGAATGAGACTGTACGAATTAGTCTGAATCTGTATGAATTAGTCCTAATGAGACTGTACGAATTAGTCTGAATCTGTAATAATTAGTCCGAATGAGACTGTACGAATTAGTCTGAATCTATATGAATTAGTCAAAATGAGACTGTACGAATTAGTCCAAAATTGACTGTACGAATTAGTCCGAATGAGACTGTACGAATTAGTCTGAATCTGTATGAATTAGTCCTAATGAGACTGTACGAATTAGTCTGAATCTGTATGAATTAGTCCGAATGAGACTGTACAAATTAGTCTGAATTTGTATGAATTAAGTCTGAATCTGTATGAATTAGTCCGAATGAGACTGTACGAATTAGTCTGAATCTGTATGAATTAGTCAGAATGAGACTGTACGAATTAGTCTGAATCTGTAATAACTGAATGAGACTGTACGAATTAGTCCGAAATAGACTGCACGAATTAGTCTGAAAGAGACCGTACAAATTAGTCTGAATCTGTATGAATTAGTCCTAATGAGACTGTATAAATTAGTCTGAATTTGTATGAATTAGTCCGAATGTGATCATACAAACTGATCCGAATGAGATTGAATAAGAATTAGTGGTTGACCGAAATGGGATTTTTAATGGCCGATGCCGATATTGAAAAATCAATCTGGCCGATTGTCCGATTTGAGGCCGATATAATACATGTAATTACAGTAAATGAGAGACATGCATAAAATATACATATCTAGTTAGTTTACAGAGCAACAGGTTGTTTTAATTATAGTATGGGATAGTTGGTTAATAATAAAAATATACGTCTCTGATCTGTTTTGTTTTGCTTGTCCGTTTCATTGTAAAAATAATACAAGCCTAAAAGCGTATAATTACATGTTTGGTTATCAGCATATAGCAGCAATAAATAAGACCAGAACATACGAAAAGGAATACTAAACGCGATATTACGCCAATCATGGGCAATCAAATAGAGCGGATATTCCTGAATAAACATATAAAGGAATTCAAACATAAAATTATTACTTAACAGAGTTCGCGTGTCAACCCAGCTTTCATTCGGGAGTTCACCGGCTTTTGAGTCCACCGGAAAACAGCGTCTTGTTTAGAAGTACCCGAGATCAACGAGCATATCTGAGGAAGTCGCGGGATTTTTGATAGTTTGTGATGTAAACACGGTTTCATTTTTGTTTGAATTCGTTTATATCTGTGTCTCCCACTGGATCTGATGTATCATGGTACTGTTTCATTAAGACTTTGCTGTACGCCAGAGTGTTATTGTATGTAACACAATGTAGTGTCACGTAAAGGAAGCATAATTGCACGATATAGTGTGTCATAATCAGTTTTGAAAAACATCGGCCACACGGAAAGACTTATCGGCCGATGCCGATATTTAAAAAGTTCCAAATATCGGCCGAGGCGATATATCGGCCGACCACTAATATGAATATGCCACCAATTCACCAAATCAAAATAGTTACAAACTGCAATGAGAATGTGTTGTACAATATTTTTGGTGTAAGAAACTTTTACTAAGACTGTAAATGACTTCAGAAGAAGAAGAAAATCTAATGTATTACAAAAGTGGTGAATATGGTCCCCTTTGAGAAATGACGGTTGAAGAGTGATTAGTATTGTTGTCAGAGCTTAAGCACCATGCTGCTATACGAACATGCAGCAGGCTTATCTCAGTCCAAGGCATCAGTTCAGCAAATTCACCATGGCCTTGTACTGCACTGGGCCAAGAACCACAGAGTACCAGGAGAACATGAGAGAATGAGAATGACAAAGCCAAACTTTCAGCTTTCAAAAATATTGGAAATTTTCAAAGATAATAACCTGTTGTGGAGAAGCAAAGCTTACAGTTTTGGGCACTTCGTATGCGATCTGAGTGGAGACGCCACCCATGTCCAATACTCCAGCCGTACGCTTGCGCACCAGCGTCTCCTGCTGGTCACTGCCAGGAACCTGCACCTCCACCACTGCCTCATGTTCTGAGAAACAAGAGCACAGAAAATATAATGAAAAGAGAGACAGGAGAGGGGAGTTGAAAAGCAACTTTTGTAGGGGCTATTAATTGTTATGAAAAAGAAAGTGGTACACTATCACTTACCATCCTCAACATGATTGAATCGGCCCAGAACAAAGTTGATTCCTATCCATGCATATACTCCTGCAATCAATCAATCAATCAAATTCCACAGAATTCAGTTTTACACTCAAAAGCCAAACAACAACAAAAAAATTTGGGGTCAGTAGGGTTTTTTTTTTTAAAAGAAATAGTACTTTTATTCAGCAAATATTTATTCAATTGATCAAAGTTACAGTGGACACTTATAATGTTACCAAATAAATGCTGTTTTAAACTTATTTAACAAGAATCCTGAAAAAAAAAATGATCACGGTTTCTACAAAAATATGCAGCAGCACAACTGTTTTTCCACATTGATAATAAGAAATGCAAATCATCACATTAGAATGATTTCTGAAGGATCATGTGACACTGAAGACTGGAGTAATGATGCTGAAATTCAGCTTTGATCACAGGGATAAATTACATTTGAAAATTTATTACAATTAAAAAAAACTGTTATTTTAAATTGTAATAATAATTTCACAATATTACAGTTTTTAATGTATTTTTGATCAAATACATGCAGCCTTGATGAGCATAAGAAACTTCTTTCAAAAACATTCTAAAATACATAATCAGTATTATTAGTGTAGATTTGTGCAACATTTAAATGTACCGCTGCATTTACAAACTAATGACTCTAGAGGTGGTCTAGAAGAGGTTTAGAGGTGGGTCTTACCTTCCTGTTTGCCTGAGATAACTTCCACATGGGAGTCGGAGAATAGGAAGTTGAAATTTACAGGAATGTCAGTCCGCAAATCCTCCAGCAGAGCCTCCTGTTGGCTGCAAACAAACACAATCTTAACACATGCAGCAGCTTTCCCACAGTGTGCACCTAATATGAGATTTATATTTGTGTGAGTGTGTGATCGGACACCTTTCAGGCAGGACTCTCATTCCTGCGGTGCACAGGATGTAGAGAGGCGTTTCCTGGTGCTTGTTCTTAGGGATGTGCTGAGCAGCGAAGCTCAGCAGAGGGCTGATGTAGTCGCTGGCCTTGTCTGGTGTGGATGCGTACTCTGAAATACCTGAATAGACAGGAACTAGTGTTACTTGTAGGGCTGGGTATTGACACAAATTTCATGACTGGATTACAAGCTCTTGATTTGATTCAATTCGACATACCAATCAATTTGGATATATATCAGGTACAGTATATATTTAAATTGTTTTAGTTATATTCGTTTTTATAATAATAACTTTATAATGATATAAATAGGTTTCTATTCCATTTCATGTTTGAAATATAAATATTTCAAGAGTGGCTGTCAAATTTGAATTCATTAGAGATTTATACAAACACACATTACATAAGACATCACTTAAGTAAAAAAAAATGTAAATGATAAGTTGAGTAAAATATAATGAATATTTAATGTAGTGCATATATTTACCAAAATGCTCCTCTCTAGAGATTTTTCTAGCTGACTAACGAGTTTATGGATACTGAATGGCTTTCCTTAGGTAACTGTAGCATTAAAATGACATTGTTTACAAGCAGTTGTATCTTTTCGCAGTTGAAACACTTGATTGAGTGATTACATGAGACATGACAGATTTCAGTAATGTCCAGTGACTTGAGAAAATTGACCTGCCATAAATATTTTTTTTACCTGCAATGAAACTAAATGTGCATTATTTATTTATTTATTTATTTATATATATATAAAAAAAAAACAGGTAGAAAAATTGGGGAGACACATCTAATTGCAATTTTTGTTATTATTACTAATATGTTTTGTTTTATTTATAGGGGTACACAATTTATTTCAGTCTGGTTCTCATGAGAGCACCTGGAGATTTGGTTTGGTGCTCACACTGCACATAGTGTGACCCATTAAATATAACTATAAAACTATAACTATAAAATTGTAAGAACTATACATTGAATGAATAAATTGAATATAACTATAAAAATATAAAATAAAACTATAAAAAACTAAATGTATAATAATAGTATTATTGCACTTTATGATAGTATTTAAATAAAATTGTAAACAAAATAAATAAAGTTTGATAATACTATTATATTTAAAAATAAATACTATTATGTTATAGTACACTTACAATAATATGAAAATAAAATACAAATAATACAATGCGAATATTTACATTTTTATTTATTTATTTTTACATTTTTATTCATTCATTTATTTTCAAACCTAAAATCAGCAAGCTTTTATTTTGGCTGGTTGCCTGCAAGTGAATGCACTGCTGGTTTTAGTGCTGCAGAGTGAAGCGCGTCAGGGAATAAAATATCAGTTTTGCGTTTTGCTCCGATTAAAACGTCAGCGCATAGCCTAGATTTATGCGTTCAGTTCAAAAGGAAATCTTATATACAGAATTACAATTAGTCGATCTAATACGGTGATTGTGCAACATCTGTCAACCATGTGCACCCGTTTATTTATTCATTCATTCATTAATTACTTACTCAAATTCTAAAAAATAAATCAATAAAGAAATAATACTTTAATACTATTAAACTTGAGTATTTCGTAATAAAAATAGTAAACAAATTTAGGAAGATTTTGCCGCATCTTGCATTTTCATGTGCATGTTTCAGTAACAAACTCACAGTTCATGTGGAGTGGCACACATGAAAAGATCACAACACAGATGGCATATTTAAATAATTGCAACACAGTCTTTATGACTTGATAATCACACAAAACTAGATTGAGATTATTGGATGGCAGGCGCGCTATGAATATTGTTTAGTAACATTTCGTTCACACATCAACAGCATAGACTAAAAGACTGATTGTTGGGATTCAATATCGGTTCATCAAAACGAGAATTGATTAAAATCAGGAAACTGATATGTGACCCTGGAGCACAAAACCAGTCATAAGGGTCCATTTTTTCGAAATTGAGATTTATACATCATCTGAAAGCTGAATAAATAAGCTTTCCATTGATGTATGGAAATTTTAGGATTGAACAATATTTGGCCGAGAACTATTTGAAAATCTGGAATCTGAGGGTGCAAAAAAAAAAAATATATATATATATTGAGAAAATCTAATTTAAAGTTGTCCAAATGAAGTTCTTAGCAATACATATTACTAATCAAAAATTAAGTTTTGATATATTTACAGTAGGACATTTACAAAATATCTTCATGGAACATGATCTTTACTTAATACCCTAATGATTTTTGGCATAAAAGAAAAATCTATAATTTTGACCAATACAGTGTATTGTTGGCTATTGCTACAAATATACCCCAGCGACTTAAGACTGCTTTTGTGCTCCAGGGTCACATATCGTCAACCCAGCCCTAATTATTTGACCATTCACCACTCCAAGCCATCATTCTGTTCATTCGTTCCCAAACTGACCTGGCTTGATCTTCATGACTACAGGCTTCCTGTGCTTGTCTCGCATCTGTTTGATGTCTAGGAGCTCATGCGGGTTGCCGTTGTGCCGAGGCCAGGTGTACACAAACACACGGGAGCCACTGCTGCCACAGTCCACCACCAGCCCATAGTTCAGGTTGGGGTTATTGGTGTCCGTGGCCTCCATGTCCGGCACCCGACCCAAACGTCTAGTGGAGACACATCAATCAGGATGATTAGATCTGCTGAGATGCATAACAGGAATAACAGAACTGATAGGCGTTTTACGTGTGGATGTGTCGGTCCTCTCTTAACCAGCTGTACTGGCCCTTCCCTGTGACCAGCAGCAGGTACAGCAGCCCCATCACACCAGTCAACAGACCCAGCAGCAGCAACTGCCTGAAGGAAGGCAACAGGAACCGGGGCAGAACCACCGGAGACAGGCTGAAGTGCCAGGATGCTGGAAACAGGCATGAAATGCTAATCCTGTAGAGAGAAAAAAAATAGTGATGAGAAATCTGTCACTATGGTTACTGGATCCTCTTATCTTGGCAGCTCACACAGAAGTCCCTTTCAAACCGAGCAGCAAGCGTGGTGAATTCACAGGACATACTTGGCGAAATCATTCACCCTCACACAAAGTTCCCAGTTGCGTGGATTGCGAATGAAACGACTGGATTTCAGCTGAGAAAATTTGCTGAACAGCAGTAAATGTGACCACACATTTAAGGCTCAGTTATGTTGAACATTTCAAAGAGTTTCTGTTGTGGACGTTTTTGTGGTTACCATTGTACTGAAAAGCAGAGCTTGTGATGAATATGGTGTTTTTGCTTCATCCAATGAACACAGCTATGCTAATGTTAGTGCAGTGAGAAGTAGTGCCAATCTACTGTAAATAAATAATCACATTTCCTGTAAAAGTTTGCCTTAAAAAGTGAACCATTTACAATAAGACCAAGATAGTGTGTTTAGAAAACAAAAGCATCTCTTTTTATTTCAAGTTGACTTTAAAGGTTTGTCAAGCAGCAGAAACATCATATAATAAACAATAAGGTAGGAATTTATTTGCCATTACATATAGAGATCGACCGATATATCGATTTACCGATATTTTCCCGATATTTAAGTGTTTTACCATAATCGGATATCGGTTTTGTAATATCGGATAAATGCCGCCATCTTGTGGGTGTTTTGAAAATTGCGCGCAGGATCACCATTGCAGCGCGTCTGAGGGGAGACGAGACAACAACAATGGCGTGCACGGGTACTTGATTTGCTGTAGTTAGTAAGCTTTATTTAACATAACAGTCATGTATGCACAAATTAAATGCATTACATAAATGCCTGATATGTAGTTTATGCAGCTTGGCT